CCCTCTCCTTCCTCCTTCTCCTCCTCCTCCTCCCTTCCTCTTCCTCCTCCTTCCCTTCCTCTTCCTCCTCCTCCTTCTTCCTTCCTCTTCCTTACCCTTCCTTCCTCCTCCTCCTCCTCCTCCTTATCCTCCTCCTTCCCTTCTCCCGCCCGCCTCCTTTTCCGCCTCCCCCCCCCCCTATTGCCGGTCACCGAAAGGGAAGTCCGTTCTCGTATTTTCCAGAAACCGCATTCAGATTTTAACGTGAGAGCTTCTTTTGTTCGTGAGAAAGACGGAAGGAGAGAAAGAGAGAGAGAGAGAGAGAGAGAGGGAGAGAGAGAGAGAGGAGAGAGAGAGGGAGGAGAGGGAGGAGGAGAGGAGAGAGAGGAGAGAGGAGAGGGAGAGGAGAGAGAGAGAGAGAGAGAGGGGGAGAGAGAGAGAGGGGAGAGAGGAGAGAGGAGAGGGGAGAAAGAAAGAGAAAGAGAGATCGGATCGAAATCAAAATCGTAAGAAAAAGAAAAAGATTGAATTACGAAAGAGCGAGAGAGCGAGGGAGAGAAAGAGAAGAAGAAGAAAGGGGGGGAGGGAGTGGGTGGGAAAACGAATAAAATTGCGAAAGAGAGCAGCACAAAAGCCAACAACACACTAAAGAGCCGACAATTGCTGACCCTCGGAAATGGCTGTTAAACCTTCAGTTTGTTACAAGTTATATATATTTTTTTTCCCCAACGATCAGCTTTCGTCCTTAGAAGAGAGAGGCGAAGGGGGGGGGGGAGGGGGGGAGGGGGGGGGAGTTTAATGTACGCCCACATACCCCACACCCCCCACATACCTCCCCCCAATATCCCTCCTCTTCTTCTTTCACTACCCACCTCTCTCTCCCTCTCTCTAGTACCTTTACCTACCTAACCTACCTACTTCCTACCTACCTACTTACCTACCTACTACCTACTTCCTACTACTTACCTACCTACTACCTACCTACCTCTACCGCCCTCCCCTCCTCCTCCCTACCTATACTGTACCTTCTTGCTACCCTTCCCCCTCTATCTCACCCACCCCTGCTTAGACATACCCTCCAACCCTACCCCCATAACCCTCCTCCCTCCCCCTTTCCTCTCCCTCCCCAACCCGACACCCCCCTCCCCCCCCCAGCCCCCAACCGTCCACCCCTCCCTCCCCTCAGCCCCAACCATCCCCCCCTTCCCCCCTTCCCCCTCCTTCCCCCAATCAACCGACGAAAATCCGACTTTTTGAAATATTTTCTTCGTATGGGAACCACTGAGCGATTTACGTAAATGTTTCTCTTCAACGGTCAGCAATCGAAAAATTCGGTTAAGGGGGAAAAATTCGGTTAAACGGAAAAGGATGAATATGTATATCTTATTTTCCGTCTTTTTCTTTGGGGCGAATTCCACAAAATTATCGAATCTTGTTGTTAGTATAATTATCATCATCGTTATTATTGTTGTTATCACAAATCCATTGGCAATTTGTTATCACAAACATATAAACTCTTACAAATTATGGTTATTAAATCATATTATTATTATTATTTGTTATTATTGCCATTATCATAACTTACAAATATTATTAAATTTTTTATTCATATTATTTGTTGTTCTTATCATCATTCATTGTCATTATCAATATAATCTTTATTTATCAATAGGTTATTACATTATAATTGTTGTTATCATCATCATTATTCATCATTTATATTTTACTCTTTTAAGTAGAAAAAATGTATATTTAACAAACATTTTGTTTAAAAAAAAAAAAAAAAACGCAAAATCGTCCGGAAAGAAAACGGAAATAAACGTGCGTAAAAGAAAACGAGTATTTTTAATGACAATTTCTGCCTTTGTTTAACCTTTGGTTCTCTGTTTGTCTTTTCTTTTGTGCAATTTTTTTGGTATCTTGCTATTCGCGCTGTTTATTGGTTGTTTTTGCATATTCTTTACCCTCCGATATATTTTTCCTATCATGTGAGCGGGTTTACTTTGTGTAAAGATTTATATTTGTTTGCGTGTTTTTTTCGTCATCTACACACACAATCAACACACCACACATACAACAACCTCGCAACACCGGCCCACACACACACCACACACACAACAAAAACACACAACACACAACACACACACACACACAAATAACATATATCACACCAAATGCCACCCAATCAAACAAACACACCTCCACAAACCCACAACAAACCCATCGACCCCCCACACAAACCCACGTCCAACACAAACCCAACCCCACCCACCCACAAACAAACCCAACAACAAACAACCCACAAACCCAATCACATAACCGCACCACACCCAACACAAACCCAGCCCAAGAAAAGCTCACCCACACAAACCCACCACCGGCACAAACAAACCCACAGAAGATGTATATACAACAACCCACAAACCCACATAAACCCATACCACACCACATCAAACACCACCCACGTCCCAACAACAACTAAGAAGTTACGCCACAGCCCAACACCACAACACACCACAAACCACACCACACAAACAAACCACACACAAACCCACACAGAACACACAAAACACAAACAACCCAAACAAACAAACACACGAAAATTCCGTCGGCAAATAATAACCCACGAACGGGCCCAACACCCACACAAACACCCACAAACCCACACAACAAACACAAAAAACCACAAAAATTCACACAATTTAATACCACGAAACGAGGGCCCAAACACACCAACACCCACAAACCAGCAAGCCAACAAACAAAAACAAACAGAAAAATCGCCAATTAATAAAACACGAAACGGGCCCAGGAATTCGCACGTTTCAAAATACCGTCCCTCTTATCGGGCGGGTTCGCTCGTTTTCGCAAAATATCAAAGTTCACGTTGGGTTCCTGGGCTTCACTCGAAAGCTTTGCTCGAGAAAACCTTTAAATGGCAACGAGAGAAAGATTTTTTTTTAAAACCTTACTTAGAAAATGAGGGAGAAAGATTTTTACTTACTTAGAATGAAGGGAGAAAGAATCTTTTTTTTTTTTTTACTTAGAATGAGGGAGAAAGATTTCTTTTTTTTTACTTAGAATGGAGGTATAAGGAGATTTTTTTTTTTTTTTTTTTATTTTTTTTTTTTTTTTTTTTTTTTTTTTTTTTTTTTTACTTAGAATGGTAATGGAGTGTTGGTTACTTGTGATTGGCCACGTTATGAATCTATGTACTTATGATACGGGTTTATGAATTCATATTTACAAAAACACACGTCATCGCTTATAAACCTTTATCAAACACGTACTTGTAACATACACATATAGACACGGCACTTATAAACACAATATAGACAACGCACTCATAAACCACTTATAAACATGCACTCATAAAAACACACTTATAAACATGCACTCAATATAGCCACCTTATAAACATGCACGTCAATAAACCTAAACAATGCATACACTCAATAACACATTATAAACACGCACTCAATAAACACACCTATAAACACTTATAAACATACACTTACCAAACACACTTATAAATACGCGGGTCTATAACCCACATGTTATAAATATAATAACACTTACAAACACACTTATAAACACGCACTTAACACACACTTATAAACAATACACTACAAACACTCATAAACCCGGCCGCACTCAAATAAACACTTATAAACACGTGATACGTTACTTAACACAACACTTACCAACACGCACTAATCAATAAACACACTTATAAAACACTGCACATTAACACACACTTATAACAGAATATACTTACAAACACTAAGCATCCCAGGATCGGCAAATT